TTTTAATAAATACGATGAGTATGTATAAATGGTATATATAAAATCATAGTAGAGGTGAACGAATTTTTTTTTCTTAAATATAGAAACCATGTGTAAGCCACGTGCTAATCAATGTGGACTGTTTGGAAATGCTACGAGGCCAGAATAAATACAGGCAGTTAAGTAATTCATCGTAGACCTCAGCATATGTGTGGCTAAATAAACCATCAACCATCAGGTGGACTGTTAGTTTTTTGTAATTCTAATCTAATATTTTAAAACAAATGTGTGTTTAGTGTTTTAAATTTTAAATGAAATAAGGACAACTATAACTAACTGGTTTCATTCTGATTGCATTTTACTTAAAAATATATAGATTGTTAACCATGACCGAGTCTATTGATAGAATTAGGCGTTACTTTGCGGAAATCCATCATAAAAATTATAATAAAGATATTAATTTGCAACCATATTATATACTAGCTTGCCAGGCAGACGTTGTTCTGCCCTTTTCGACGACCCTTTGTCATGTCCTATTAAAAATACTTAAATTAGCAAAAAAATGTGGGTCACTCATGGGAAAAAAAACTATCCTATCTCTCAAGTTGGACCAAACTGCACACGGTGTGCAAATTTGATTAAAATCGGTTAAGTAGTTTAGGAGTCCATCGCGGACAAACTACGTGACACGTAATTTTTATATATCAAGATATTAAAAAATTAAGCGGATATTTTTTTAATTAAGCGGATGGTTGCAAATTAATATCTTTATTATAATCGTTATGACCGAGTCACAAGAAATCGACACTAGTATAATCTCCCGCTATAAAACTTCATATATAGTTATTATTTGTATTTAAGATTTATAAAAGTTTTGTAAAAATGTGATATACATCCCTAGGCATAGGCACCCTCTAGTCTTAACTGCATTTATAAGTGAAGTTTAGGGCATGTGATCCGCCGCGCTGCCCCAATACGTGTTGGCAAAGTTGACACCACTGTTGATGCAAAACTGTATAATTATTATTTAAATTATAAATATTATGATTTCAATAATAATTATACAGTTTTGCATGTAACTTACATTGTATAGCTACTATATATTATACATTATACATTGTATAGCATTGTATAGATATGTTACTTACATTGTATAGCTTGTATAATAAAACATTAAATAATAAAGGATCTACGAAGTACACTGGAGACTGTATGGAAATCGTTTAAAGAAAGATAAACCTAAGATACAAACATACTTTTACTTTTGTATGCCCAGGAACTTACGCTTGTCAACTATATTTCTTTTTGCCGGCTTTAACAGCCCTAAATATGCTAACAGTACGACACTAAGTGTATATTTAAACTTTCATTTCAACTACATAACTATTGTGATTAAATTACTTTTTGTCAGAAAACTGGAGTATGTACAAAAATTACAAGTTATAATTAACTTTTAAACATTCTTACTGATACCATACTTATTAGCTAATTGACAATGCCGATACAGGATATACTAGTGGTTGTGAAAACCTTAAAGTAATAGTGGCGGCACAAGGGTTGTTACGCAAGAACAAAGAACTAGATAATCATTTGGAGATTGTTTTTATTGATGTATGAAAACGGGACGTTATATAATGACAATTGTCATTATAATGTTGTCCGAACAATGGTACATATACCCGAGTGAATTCACAAAAGAAATGAAGACAATTAAAAAAAAGTTGTTCTTGCACAATCAGTGTCCATAGTAGGTATTTGTTATATACAGCGATATTTATATTTGGAGCTTTTTTGAAGTAAGAATGAAAACACTAAATGAAGCAGAAAGCTGAAATTAATTTGATTTATTCACGCGATTTAATAGCGGTAAAACAATATTTCTTGCTTATAACGTAATCGTTGATCTATTTTCAAATGTTATTTGTCAATATAAGTTATATATGATTTGCTTAATTTCCTACTTTTATTTATAGAAGTTGCGTTTTCTATAAAATCTGCATGAAATTCAATCAGTTTTGAAGTAACGATGAAAACAGACATAAATAAGTCTGCATTTTTGTTCTAGTTGGTAATTGGTAACTCTGTTATTCATTACTGCTTCATGACGACGATGTATATTAACTGAAATGATCCATGTTCGTATAATTCAAATTAAAAATGTATTCGTAGATATGATGTGTAGAGCTAAGTGATCAGTTTTTCAGAGATTTTCAACAAATTTGTTCAAAATACGTTGAATATGTGTTCGCTAATTATTAATTATCGAGGAGGACAGTCTTTACGGTTTATAGATCTTTCTGCGAAAAATAATTTCAAAGGTCCGATTTCACTATTTATAAAATTATGATTTCTATATTTTATTTGCAAGAAAGATTTAAATTCTTTTAACTATTTAGCAGGTAAAGCATTTAAAAATTTTTGTATTAAAAGTTTGACAATTATTTCTTTAATTTTACTTGTTTTTCACTTTTAATTAATCTTAATTTTAAAACAATATTAAGATACGAAATAACCAAGCTCGGCACTTTTTTCACTTTCAATTTCATACCCGCATATACGCTTGCCCTCTCTTTTAAAAAGATTCAGAACACATTCAAACACATTATTGTACTTCACCTGACTGCAATAAATTAAATGTAAGCATTTTGATAAGATTTAAATCTATATATGGGTTACGATCTTTTGCCTTCCGTACATGATTAACTTAAGTACAAGCATACCAAACAAAATTTCGATCATAGTCGATACAAGTACTTTTGATATTTGAGTAATTCAATACACGTAGTGCACCTTCGTAGTTTATTAGCGCGGCGGTCATCAACCTGCCTGTCGAGCGTCATGAGTATCATGGGCAAGTCTTTTAAGAAATGTGTCCTTTGGCCCATACTTAACAAGACCCACATTCAGCAGTGGATTTAGCAAGACTTAAGAAAAGAAGGAAAGAAAGCATTTAGAAGAAGCAAAAAATATTTTTTTTAGTTATTATTACGATTTTTCGTCTTAACGCGTGAATAAAACGTTTGATGGTAAACAAACGCGCATCGTGATGTCAAATATCACATGAACAGAATGAAAGTGCATTAACATCTTAAAAATACAACACACATTAAGTCGCAGAGTTCTGTGTTAGAAGTGGATATTGTTATTTCTAGATTACTTTAGACTGTTAGTAACCGTTAAAAAGATTAATATTTTTTAAAACCTGTTTGAATTGAATTGTATTATGATTTATGATCAAACGTTTTTTAAAGAATGAAGAATAAAATTGCGGCTTAAAAAATAAAGTAATAGCCTAATAATGTCCCACTAATTTTCTTTTTTTAAGGGGTTCTGAAATAGTGAAGAGAGAGTTCACCGCGCGGCTCCTTTGTCAGTTGGTAGATTTAACGTTATCATATTCAAGTCCTCTGCTATTTAAAAATTAACATAAAACATGTACTTAGCTATCTGTGCCACTGCTTCTTCTTTTTCTATTTCTCTCTCGCAGGGTATAGAAATACTTTATTTCTAGAACATCTGAGAGGGAATAAAAGAAAAAGTTATGTATCAAACATACGAGTTGCCTTATTTTAATAATTTCCTTCACTGCCGAGCATTTGGTAAATTGTTACTACAAATGATGATTAAAAGTTTCGGTCATGACATCAGTGATAATACTTGGCACGGTTCCGGTAGCGTTTCAACTTACTTGGAAAGGTTATCTTATGATAAAATTGAAGTAATTATATTACCATTGAAGTGATGAAATTAACATCTCTAACCTCACGTGGTAGAGAGCCATGCGGCAACTATATTAGTAGTATTGTTGTAGCACGAATGGGTCGGCTCGACCGGGGAAGGACCGCGTAAAATAGCAGCATTCAGAATACCAACGTAAAATAGCAGCTTAATGCTGCTGTTTTTCGTATGGTGAGTGTTATAACCGGAGACCCTTTTTACTGGAAACTAGACATTCCATCTTTGCCCTCACGGGTGACAACGCATTTGCATTTTGATTCGTAACCGAGGATAGATGTCTATGGGCCACAGCAACCACTTACCATCAGGTGGACTGTGTGCTCGTTTCTCACCTTATTCTTATAAAAAAGACATTAGTCGTAAATATATCTCCAACTATAACATTTAATGCAATATTGTAAAATGAAACAATAATAACATACAAAAAAAACGCGCGGCGAACTCAAAAAGGTCGTGGGTTCGAATCCGCCATTCCACTACTGGCGTGAACCACTCGTAACACAAACAATTTAAGCTTACCACGAGTGGTTAAGGGGAATATTAGTGATGTTTATAGCATTGTTAATATTATTTAAAAAAAAAAGAAAAAATTAACCCTATTGTTATCAAATACTCGAGATGCGGGTATTTCTACTATCTATCTCTTATTATTTTTTAAGTAATGTAGATCACGAAAATAAAGACTAAAACATATTGTCCTAATTAGGGGCTTGTTTTTTTATCGGTGAACCACCTTACAGTTATTGAGATCTAGCTAGATGATATCAGACAGCGCAAAGGTACCTTATCTGTAATCTAAAAACTAAAATAATAAAACCTAAATTTTTAATTACTAATCAAACACCAAAAATTAAAAATAAATTAAACAGTAAAATTTTAAACTATAGGTTGTTAATCTAACACACGTACTAGAATGACATCTGTGTCGATAAGTGCACCAAGCATGATCAAATTGTGACATAATACTTCCGATCTTTAAATATTACCTCATTCTTGGGCTTGGAAGCCCAATATCTCGCTCCCATTCTTTCAGCCGGTTCAGTGAAAGGGTCCTCCGATATACTTTTACCCTCCCGAAGCAGCCCGAGCTACAGACGGGTGCTCACACCGTTCGCCGTCTTATAAATTCGGTGAAAACGCAGCGACATCACATTACAAATTCGGCGGCTGTAGTGAGCAGCCGTTCGATCAGTGACTTTTATAAATAAACACATTGGTATAAAAACATCGTATAGTGACTTAGTTTTAAAAACGTGTTCAGCGTTCTAAATAAGCGTGTAAAGATGAAATTCACGGTGAGTGTGCACTCTGTGAAGAAAACACAACAGCAGAAATATGTAGAGTAAAGTGTAGTACTAAAAGTTTGTAATAAATATAAGTGACAAAACAAAAATTATGGAGCGTCCAAATATATCAAAATTATGTATAATTTAAAAATGTGTTATATAGAATAATTAAGTTTTATGATAAACTACAATTACAAGTTAATTATAAAATCATATTAAATGGACTTACACATTAAATAATATTATCAACTTTAAATATCTTAATATGTTCAATATCCTAATTGTATTTATTTCCCCCTAAAAGTAAAAGCTGTAAAAGTGAAATTAACGTCATGCAGTGCAGGCTTTAATCTCAATGAGTGCGGTGCGAGTCGCAACTTTTTTATTGTGGTTGAAAACTTGTTTTCGAAAGTCCTATTTAAGATTTGCATTAACGAAACCGAAATAATTGTCGATATAGGATATGAACTTTTTATTTTGTTATTATGTAAAGTTTATTATATATGATTTATATTTACTTTTACTTTCTTTCAGGTCGTACTCATCACTCTTCTGAGTGTTTCAACATCATTTGCAATAAAAACGAAAATAGAAGAACCAAAAGATAAAAGAGAGACTCCAGAAGGCTATTCGGGTTCCGGTTACTCCTTTCGCAGCTATCAAGCCCCATCGCATGGCCGAGATGACGCAAGTACTGTCAGTGTTGGTGCCGGATACAACATAGGCGGAAGCAAACCTACATACAGTTTTGGCGGGCAATCTTCTGGATCAGGATACCAATTTTCTGCAGGAAGCATTCCTTCGAATGGTCACAATTCATTACAACTTGCTCCTATTACGCTTCAGCCGAGCCATGGTGCTTTAGTCAGCAGTGATCTTTCACAATTAATGAGTCAGCTCTCTCACAGTATTAATTCTGGAGCAATTAATTTACAACAATTAGGTGAGCAAGGAGCGTCATACCAATTGAGTAATTTAGGCGCACACGGTGGACAAGAATTTACATTGCCTCAATACTCTTACGGAGCACCAAAATTGCAACAACAATTTTCTCTATTTGAACAATCACAATCAGTTCCTTCATATGCCGCTGGTACTAAAGGTCTCGGTTCATATAGTTCTACTGGTCCCGTCTTGTTTACACCATCTGAATCTCAATCGAATCAACAAGCTTCAGCATATGTTGCCCCAAGTTCCAGTCATACTTTGAGTGAGTCAGGACCACTTTCTTTTGGTAGCACTGGCCATTCTCTATCTGGACTTTCCCTCGGTAATTCTGGATATTCGCTAGGTGGATCATTTAATTCATTAAACGGAGGGTATGGTTCTCTAGGAAAAAACTCCTTTAAGCCGTCAGCCTTTTTAGGTTCTTCCGGTCAGAGTGATTCAGGCCATCAATTAGCTAGCCTTTCTGCTTCATACGGAGCTCCATCATTCAGTGGCTCACATTTATCGTCAGGTGGTCATGGGGGATATTCTCTTGGTTCTTTTGGCCCAGGGTTGAGCTTTGGAGGATCATTTGGAGATTTCGGTGGAAGCTCCTCTAAATTTGTTGCTCCATCATACTTACCGCCTAAATCGCAAGGATTTGGTTCTCTTGAATCAGTTGCTGCTTTCTCCTCAGGTGGACACTTATCGTCTCCTCCCGCAACCACTTACGGAATTCCAACTAGTTCCTACAGCTCTTCTTCAGGTCACGCTCAAACGTCTTCATCCTCCAGTCCTCAATACTATGTGTCATCTTCAAAATATTCTTATCCCGGCAGTAATTTCAATGGTGGCTCTTCGTACAAGGGACCTTCGTCCGGTTATAGTTCATTAACCTCTTATTCTTTTGGACCTAAGTCCAGCTTTAGCGGCTCTCGTTATGGCTCTCCTAAGGATACCCATGGTGCATACAGTGAAAATTCTTATAATACAATCAAGTATAGCGAAGAGCTTAAGCCTCGTGGTCACTAAATAGTTCATATCAAAATACATACAGAAATAAGAAGGATTATTATACTCAGAGAGTACGTATTTATTGTAAATATAGGATTATTTTCCGTCTATAAAGGCGATATGTGGGTCACGGTATAGATCGAAAGAGGAAACCGTGAGGCTAAGCGAAAGCGTTGCACTTGTTTGGTCATTATTTATTTGTTTATGTTCCGTTGATTATTTTCGTTGGAAAGTTTTTTGATTAATATCACCAATTGTTAGAAGTTTATAATTTGATAAATATAGATTTTTGTAACTATAGCCGACTGAATTTTCAATACATTTTTCGATGCAGTTATTAAAATTTTTGTCATCGTTTAGCATTAATTACAATTAACTTAATAACAATAAAAATCGATGTTGTGTTTGTATACGCAGTGAATTTCTGTACATATACCAATAAAAGTAAGATAGCTTATTTATTATTGTTACTTGAAATAAGTTTGTTTTGTTGTTAATAAAAAAATATAATTAATTAAAATGTTGAATATTTTTAACTCTCTCGACTTTACCTTATATTTTTCCCTGCATGTAATAGACACACACAAACTACTAAGTAAGTTTCAAACACTGCGCAATGTAAGAAAGTTGCTGCAAACTGAGGAAACGTGATATAGAAACTTAAATAATCAACACGTGACTTATTTTTCGATTTCAATTTTAAACCAGGAAAGTGAAAGAAGTTAGTGGAATAAAAATGTTATATCACTAGAGTGAATTAACTTAATTATTTAAGCTTGTGTCTCCTTCACTGTTATATAATTCAGACGGAGTATCTACGTGCTTTGTAAACAAAAAAATGGCTTCACGGTTGAAAGAGTATGTAGATCAAATGGAAGTCAACTGCATTCACTTCCGAATTTTTGATCGACGTTATATAACTGTTTCCAGCTCTGTGGCTGGTTATCGACGTGTTTCTAATTTAAGAATAATGATTGAATAATGATTGAATTAATTTATAAATAATGATTGAACATTCTATTATTTTTGATTGACGTAGGTCAATGGTTCTCAAAATTTAAAGGGACCATTTAACCGATTTTTTATCCTACCATGGAACTTTAAGATGTAAGTTACGTAGATTTTGAAATTTGTTCCTTAAATAAAACACACAAAAAATAAATATGAATAGGTGTAATTGTGCACCCCATATCTTAATGTAGCAACACATTGTACAATAACCGTATCGGTACTATCTGCACACTTCATCATCTCCATCGTCCGCAGGGCTGTTTTATACTTTGCTATATGTGACAGAATTTCATGATGCCTTCACGGACCACTAAGTGTGCCCTCAGGGACCTTCAGTCTACGGGTCAGCGGTTAAGAACCACTGATGTAGATGATGTAGGTGATTCTTCGTAAATAAAATACAGTAAAAAAATAATTTTCATAGTAAGACTAACTTTTTACTCAGTTCGCTCGTGTGGGCTTCAATTTAGGGATAACATCAATTCTGCTCCGGACCAAAATTAGCAAAATTGATTCATTTGTAGTCATCTCGGACTGACGATAACTTTAAATTTGCTTTTCACAGGATTTTTTTTTAATTTCTCCGGGACTATTGGACGTAGATAAATGAAATTTGGCAACGATATAATATGCTACAGGAACACGTAATTATGTAAGTAAGAGTTTTTTAGAATCACATTAATCTCATATATCTAGTAACTCCTATTACTTTTTATATCGGGAATGTGTTCCAATGTGCTCATGTGAGCTAAGACTATGTTTTGTGAGCGGAAAAGAGACAGCCGCTTTAATGCGTATTAGCAGTTTTCAAGAGTAGACGATTTTTTAAATCTATTCAGACATTTAGGTTTCCCCACGAAGTTTTTGTTCACCACCTCACCGAAAACTCAAAATTTCCTATAACAATATCATTGGTCCTGCGCGAATTATAACACGTTTTGCTCCCGTGTCATGAAATCTTACGGCGAGCTACATGGCTCTCGTATTAGTTTAAATTAAAAAAAAAAACAAATATAAAACTGAGAAGAAGAGACTTTTGCATGCTTGTGGATCACATATAATTGTAGAAAACAAAATCTAAGAAATACATTTTAACACTTGTCAGACTTATTGCACCAAGCATGCCAACCGAAAAATGGGAACGTACAATATTCAATTCTTAAAAAAAGTAGTTCCAAGTATGGAATTGAAACAACTCTTGAGACTTTACCTTACCGAACCTTACTTTACCGCACTATGGCCGTTCCCGCTATGAGGACTTCAATCACTGCGTCTTGGAGTAATCGTAAAAATAACAGTGAGTCCCACCTCTTGGAGTCTCTTACAACTACTCGACTATTGGACCCCAGGAGATTAGGATAGGATTAGGACCCCAGATTAGGTTCGAAACATCTCGACTATTTATAAATATGTATACCTATAAAAGTTGTTAAATATAAAAGTATATAGATATTTTCTTATAGCTGGGTTTTACTCATTTATCACAAGGGCACACTAACAACAATCCTCTACGCTGCTTCTTACCCCATGCAGGTATCGTAAGTGGTTGAGGGAAGCCTATATATGTGAGAGCAGGGCTCCTGCAAACACAGTGAAGCACTAGCTTATAGTTTATTTAAAATGTTTTATTTACTAATAGTTTTGTGCAACATTGTATAAACTCTTAAAATATTAACAATAATGTTATAAAGCTGTGGAGATAAAGTAGAATATTGAGGCACATAAAGAATCAAATTACAGGTATTTTATTTGTATGTACGTCTTACAAAAAACATATGCCTTAAAGATTTTGAAGAAAATCTTCAGAGCAATTATAATTAAATAAAAATGTAGGTATTGTTATTTTAATTAGAAATCTTAATTTTCAAAAAAAAATTATTTTTATATAAATCAATCAAATAGATACCATAAATTTATGTAGAAATGTCCGTAGTAATTATTAATTAAAAGTACGTATATATAGTGCTGAATTAAGAACAAAACTTGCTGCACTGATAACACAAAATGTTGTTTAAATGCTGCCGCGACCAACCTTGATTAGAAACGAACTTAGAAATCGAATGCTGTTAACGAAATCCAGTTGTTCGAGTTAGACACAGATGTCTTCAAGCATTTCCTGACAATGACCTTATCGATGCAACATAACAATTTTATGGTTTAACAATGGTTATTATTTTATTTAGCTTATCTCTTCCTCAATTACTTAAACTCATAATATTGACATGTGATTTTTATTTTTTTCGCTAAATATTGTAAATATTATCTAAATTAAAAAAAAATAGTTATATCATTGTACATTAAACCAATACAATATAATTTAAGTATCCAAATATAATTATAGTATATATATTATATAGTATAATTAAATAATTTAATTGTAGTAGTGTAGTAGATTTAACTACATGTTGGCACGTCGAAACGAAATGATGAAGATATGGGTAACAGTTTGTTGTTAGTCATTATGGCAATGTGATCACTGAGTTTTATAATAAAATCAACCTAACCTAACCTAAGCATAAATTTTATTAGAAACCTAAACAAGTTCAAGTTTTTGATCAAAAAGCAGGATTTATTCAGGTCGATGATAAGGTTAAGTAATAACTTTGGTTTTTTCCGGTTCTTGATAAAAAGCTTGGGTTTTATCCAAAAAATCTGATCATAAACCTGCGATATGAATAGTTTTATGCAGCGATGGTAATTACTTTTTTTATGATCTTTTCTGTGTTTACATTACCTGTATTTACAAATAAAAATAAATTTGAATTTGAATATTTATTTTCATTTGTTAAAATATTTTTAAGGACCTAAGGAAGATCATCAACACGTATTGAGGCTGCACTCCGGATCCTTACTCTAAACACATTAGAAGGTCACATATTAGAAGGAGTGACGAACTGGTAAAACATGCAGTAAGTCGATGCATGGAGGTAGTTCAGGACCGTGTTTTGTTATATTCGTTGGGGGAGGCCTATGTTCAGTGAACTTGTGAGAGGCTATAATGATAATGAATGAAAGGATAACTTTTTTTATAGGAGAGGGGGCAAACTAGCATACGGCTCACCTGATGGTAAGTGATTACCGCCGCCCATGAGCAACTGCAACACCAGGGGAATTGCAGATGCGTTGCCGGCCTTTTAAAAAAGAGTAGGTTTTTTTCTTGAAGGTCCCTAAGTCGAATCGGTCCGGAAAATCTCTGGTGGTAGTCGATTCCACAAGGAAGTTGTGCGAGGAAGAAAACTTCTTTTAAACTTTTAACTATCCTAGCAGTGAGACTCGTGTTATTTGCTTTGCTATTTTACATAATACTGATGTTAGTTTGTGTACAGCTAATAGAGCTATGGAGTAAGGCTAAAAAATAAGCACATACACGAAATATAATTATTATTGTACATTCATTTAAATAATCTACTATGGCATTTGTCGGTTAATAGAAAAAGTTGTTCATACTTTTTTTTCCAGCTAGGTACGAAGTCAAGTAGTAGTTCACGTAGGTGGACTCAAATAAGAAAATATTTAAAAGAATTACTGTTTACTAGCTTGCCAGGCAGACGTAGTTCTGCCCTTTTCGAAGATCCTTTGTCATGTCCTATGAAAAATCCTTAAATTCGCAAAAAAAAAATTGTGGGTCAGTCATGGGCAAAAAAACTATCCTATCTCTCAAGTTGTGCAAGTGTGCAAATTTGATTAAAATCGGTTGAGTAGTTTAGGAGTCAGAGACAAACAATCGGGCAAACAACGTGACACGTATATTATATATATTAATATAAATTACGTGTCACGAATTTATATTAATATATATATAAATTACGTGTCACGTTGTTTGTCCGATTGATTGTTTGTGAGATTGTCAAATTTTGCGCAGGTTTATTTCACCAAAGTCTTGAGCCATTGAAATAAAATCTCGAGTCAGTGTATGTAATACGAGCGTTACCGAAGAAAATATCGCCAAAGTTAATAAATTAGTGGCGGGGGATTGTAGAATAAAAAAGACAGATAGATATTTGCCT